GAAATGTACCTGTACATCAGAAAATTGTTGATCACGTACCAATTCAATACAGAAACCTCTACAGATGTAATACCAAACATAAACATGCATGAAAAATTGAGCGGCATGAAAGGTAACCTGATTCTCTCTATATATTGCTTGTTGCAGAGTTTGAGCGAGGCTGTGGACAAAGCCCTGACAATTTGAGTCTCTGCAAAGAAAGACAGAAAGGTAGGACAGTGCAACAAAATAAAGCAACATTTCAATTATCATTGGAATCTCGTAAAGTTTTAGTCGAGTAGCTACGGAAAACGATTAGCTAAGGAAAAAAACCTTCAAGTAATATGGCTCTTGATATTGTGGTAATATTCCAATCTTTTAATGGCAACATCCAATCTTTTAATCTTGCGGCTGTGTTTTTAGGCTTGCTGTATACTCATGAAATCCAAGATTAAAATTATTGTCGTCAGAACGCTGTCGGCCATTTTTAATGGGTCCTGGCGTTTATCACCAGCGTAAGTAGTATGGCACAACCATTGAAATTGACGAAGGTCTAACGCTCGAAACCTCAGCCTTAGAAACTCTTATGCGTACGGTGGCCAATTTACATTGTCAACTCATTTCATAAAACCAAATTTTCTGTTTAATTCTACTTTAAGTCGTTTCATAGAATTAAAATCGTTCGTAACCTGTTGTTTGTTATTTGCAACTTTTTTATGTTTAATTCGCTGTTTAAATTTTTTCACCGGTCTAAAAATACTTTATTTTGGAGAACCTTTTACAGGCTGGTCTAACACGTAGGCACACATTTAGGCTTGTTACCCACCCTTCCCTCACAGTTGTTTGCGTGAGAGGAATGCTATATTTAGGCCGGAAGGAAACGCAACGTCATCAGGAAAAAGAGAATATCACAGATTTCCCTTGACCCTATTTTTTCGGTCATTTACTCTCACCTAACTCGAGCCCCCGCTAACTCAATAGGGATTTTATTTCGCAATTTCTATCGTTCGATTCTAGGTTGGGCACGTCAAGTCGTCTCGCACGTCGGATAACATCTTTTTTCCAAGTCTTGCTTCTTGAGGTGCAAGGCAAACATGAGGGGAGGAGGCCGAGTGATTTTTCTCTACGTCTAGTACACATGTTTCTTTTCGTTTGAGAAGCTAAGATGTTTTCGGACAGAACTAAGGAAAGCGATGTTTAGGCCCAAAGCGAAAAGAAAAAACGTTTCCATAGACCTCTTACCCAGACCGCCGCCGTTCATGTAAGCACGGGCTCAAACTTTGTATCCACGGTGTTCAATAGAGTTGATGCATCATATCAATATGTCTGACTAAAACATACAGTTGTTTGAATGTACAGCCGAGTTTTAGGCAAAAATGCAACTCTCGTCACAGAAAACTTGTATATGATTAAATTACCAAGGACTTTTTCAGCTCGGTGTTTCTTGCTCCTCTGGTGGGGCAAAATATTACAAGTAATTTTTAAGTTCCCGCACTACGTTTCGAGACAGCATCGCGTGACATACCGATCCTTTTGTATCTATTTCCATAATTGTAAGGCCACGAACGGGTGCTTTTCTCGTTCTAAAATACGATCATTGTGTTGGAAATACCTTTTCAAAAGAATAAGCAATAAATGACACAGCTACGGATAAGTAAATTTTCTTTCATTTTGAGGCGGCGCTTTGTAATTGTTTGCAAGTTTACAGCTCTCTTACCATTTTTATGCAACTGTATTTGCATTTTCCGGTTTTACTAGTAAGCCATTGTAATATTTGACACGTGAGTCTGGCGTGCGTAACAGAGTGAGTTAATGTCTGGTTTTGCCCGCCCTGAAGAACTGCTCGTCACTTTTTTGTATTCATTAAACGCAAAAAGGCGAGATCCTCAATTCCTCTAAAAACTCTAACGCATTCTTAGCGTCTCCTCTAAAAGTATGAGTCTCTCTGCGAGCTATATTTTTATCTCATCTTAAGAGACATCACTGAAAAAATTGATTCATAAACAACGTCGAACTTGATGGATTGCCGAAGCATGAAAATCAGTCTTGCATAGCGTTCTCTAGGATCACGAAGAAATAACTCTGGCACGTTTTGCGTAGTAACTTATACCAGCCGGGAGGGCTCTTGTATGTATGCAATACTGTAGATGAAACCGTTAGCTACAGGTCTTTTCTACAACTATGAGTCTCTCTGCGAGCTATATTTTTATCTCATCTTAATAGACATCACTTAAAAATTAATTTATAAACAACGTCGAACGTGATGAAACGCTGAAGCATGAAAATCAGTCTTGCATACCGTTCTCTAGGATCACGAGGAAATAACTCACGTTTCATAGTAACCTATACCAGCCGGGAGGGCTCCGCCATGTATGCAATACTGTAAATGAAATCGTCAGCTACAGGTTCCTACTTAGTCAGCTTCCTACTTTACAAGGACTATTCGTGACTGATACCGTTCGTTGTATCAGTTGTCGTGAGAAATGGGACGCACAAATTCAAGAGAGAAACTGTTCACGTACCAAATCAACAGGGAAAACCCCTTCATACCTAATCATAATACCACCTCAGACGCAATACTCAACATAAATATCATGAAGAAAAGAGCGGCATAGATGGTAAACTGATTTACTATATAAATCACTTGATAATTCTTTTTTGTCGCAACTGATTTGAGCGAGGCTGTAGACGAAGTCCTGACAATTCAAGCCTCTGCGAAGAAAGAAAGAAAGGTACGATGATGCAACGAGATAAAGCCACATTACAGTGATCATTGGAATCTCGTAAAGTATTTGTCGATTAGCTAAGGAAAAAAAGCTTCAAGTAATGCGGCTCTTACTATCGTGGTCATATTCCAACGATCAACCTTTTAATTTCGCGGCTGCGCTTTTGGGCCCGCTGAAAATTCACTCTATTACCGACAAACTTCGACAGAAAAGATCAGTATTACAAGTGTCCGACTTTTCTTTTTTATTGTTGTCACCAGAACGCTGTCGGTCATTTTTCAGTGGGTCCTGGCTATTGTCGGCGTTCAGTACGGCAGTAGCATAGCATGGCACGAACCCTCAGTCTTAGAAACTCTTTATGCGTACGGCGGCCAATTTATATTGTCAACTCATTTCATAATAACAAATTTTCCGTTTAATTCTACTTTAAATCGT